GATATTGAGTAGAGTTCTAGATCTGAAGTCAGGAAGATTGACTTTGAATCCTACTTCAGTCACTTACTTACTATGTGATCCCAGGCAAATTACCCTTTCTGGGCCTCAAATTTCCTCACTGGTAAAATAAGGGGTTGGATTTGATGATGTGTAAGTAAGGTTCCTTCCAGCTCTAAATCTATGGTCCTATGATGCTTTCCTTCTAGCCTATTTCTCTCATTTTTCAGCTCCTTCTCATTCTGACACTCAGCCTTCTGACCTGCTCTGCCTATCTGATATCTCTCCTCTCTCCTGTTTTGTCACTCCCAATTTTCTATTTCTAACACATCATTCCCTTCATGGGAAATCTAGCTCCTTTTTTTCAGCCCCACTCCTAATTCTTTCAGTATTCCTACCTACCAGGGATTAAATAAAATTTTTTAAAAGAATGTTTACATTGACATGAGTAACAATATTGAATGGTCACTTCAGGTGGACATAAAGCTTTGCTGATTTCAAGAACAGTTTCTGGAAAAAGACAGTAGAAAATATTTCAAGTTTGACATTTCTCCAATGTATTTACTATTAAGGATCCAGAGAAAAGAAAAAGATGGGAAGTGAATACAAGTTCAAGGTAATAGGGCTGCATCTTCTCTCACTTTAAGGCGGAGACTTCCAGATCTCCCAAAAAACAATCTTGCCAATACTTTTCTCATTGTGCCTACCAACTGCTTCAAGTCAATGGAAGATGTACAGTCAGAAGGCTTGTGTTTGAACATCAACTCTGATCCTTACAACCTATGTCACCTTGGACAAATCACAATTTGAATGAGTTTCAGAATTTCCTCATCTGTAAAATGAGGAGATTGGATCTCAAACTGCATTCCCTTCCAGCTTTGGATATTGTATTATTATTATTATTACAATGCTAACATTTACATAGTGTCTACTATGTGCCTGGCACTCGGCTAAGTAAGTGCTTTATAATTATTATGTTGTTTGATCCTCACAACAGTTCTGGGAGGCAAGAGGTATTATTATCTCCATTTTGCAGTTAAGAAAACTAGAATAAATAAAGGTCAAGTGACTTGTCTAGTGTCACACAACTAGTAAGTATCTGAGGATGGATTTGAACTCCAGATCTTACTGACTCCAGGCTCAGCACGCTATCCACTGCACCTCCCAGCTGCCTAGCATCCCTCTGCTGGGATCTGTGGCCCTGAAGTTCAAATTTACTTCCCCCACTCTCCTTTCAAGTCTACATCTGCCCCCAAGTCTTCTCTTTCCCACTGAGCCCATCTTCCTTCAGCTTCCCTTCTTTCAACTTTTATTCATAAATCTGAGGCTTCTTCCATTGTCCCCTTTCCACCAGGGAATATTCCCTTCTACCAGCAATTCCTCTGTTCATGTGACGGGCACAGCTGACTGAACTTTGGGGAAAAGACGCACAATAGTTTATATGCTGTGCACCTCCTTTGCTTAAAGATGCAGAAAACACTAACTGTTTAGCATGCTTGGCACATAGTGTTTGCTAAATGCCTGTCAGAAATGAAGGCTGCATAAAATGTGTACTCTACATTTGCATCTCTCAGACTGGGCAACTGAATTCATGGTTTTTTTTTAATTTCAAAAGGTCATAGGTGAACTTCCTGTGTCTTTAATTCAAGTCCTAGCAACTCCTTAGATGTAAAACCCTGTGGTACTGGCAGACAGGCGACTTGGCTAAGAGATCAAGAACTGACCTGACCCTCTGCAAAACCCTGG